GTCCTGACGCGCCTGGGCCTCCCGCTGCTGGGCGGTAGCAAGCTGCGCGCCCACATCTCCTCGCAGCCGGGCCTCCTCGGCGAGGCGATCCCATTCCGCCTTCTATTCGCGGAGGAACTGAGATTTGCTCCGACTGCGAGCAACAAGGATCTGAAAAGAAGACCGGCATCAAAAATACGAAAACACAAAAGTACTTGAAGAAAGAGGAAAACGAGGAAGAACGAGCAGATACTTGGCTAGTAGGAACGACAATTTCACGCACAGCCCCTCTGACCTGGTCCAGGGCATTCATCATGGTCGAAAGCCCGACGTCGATACTCTCCCGCTCCATGCTCTCGGCATGGTCGTCGAGCATGAAAAGGGTTGACGTTGGGTCCTGAGCAGCCATCCACTAGAGCGGCGGCTCACCCCGCGTGGGGGAGCGGCAGCCTCCCGACAAAGGGACCGGGGGCGACTCCCTCTTGGTCCTCCGCACCACCGCCACGACGCCCGAAGACCCTCTGACCAGGTCCTCCTCCATCTGGGCCGCCACGAGCGCCACAGGCGGATCCACCGACGGGACTGATTCAGTCACCCCCTCGGACGCTACCAAGGCGACACCCAGCCCCGCCGGGCTTGTCGTGGCCGCGGTCATCTCCACCTGGGCCCCTGATGGCATGGACTGCACCGCGCCCTCGGATACCACCGTGGCTGCGTCCGACTGCTCCCGGCTCGGCGCGGTCACGGCCACCCCCACCGTGGCCCCTGGTGGCGTGGACTGCACTGCGCCCTCGAGCACCACCGTGGCTGCGCCCGGCTGATCCTAACTTGGCGCGGTCACGACCACCTCCACCGACGATACGCAACCCTCGGCCGGCGGTGCCGCACCCACCACAGAAGATCCCGCCTGCTCGGCGGCCACCAAGGGCGCGGGCGCCGCCACGGCCACCGTTGAGTCGGCCAACACAACCGCAGCATCGTCGCCACTCCTGCCCGAAATGGGAGCAACGTCGGGCGACACCGCCCATCCCGCCTGACGGGCAAGGCTCTTCTTGGGCGCCGGCCCTAGAGGACGGCCCGTCCGCAAGAGTCTACACAAAGGAAAAATGCATAAAGTCAAAACAGAAAAATGAAATGGAAGAAAAACAGGGGAGTCAATGGCTTACCCCCGACGCCTTCGGCCGGCGGGAGCGCTTTGGGGACGAACCCCCAGACCCCTGCTCCAACTCATCAGGACGGGACCACTTCGAACCTGCCCCCTGCTCCCGGGCAGGGGAGCTCATCTCCCTCATCTCCGAGGGCGCGGCGGCAGAGCCACCCCTCTCGGTCAACACCTCGGGCTGGGTGGCAGATCCACCCACCTCCGTCCTCTCATGGGACGCGGCAACAGGACTGCCCTCCTCCATCAGCACCTCGGGGACCTCCTCGGATCTAGCCACCCACCGATCTTCTGCCGGCACCCTGCGCGAAGCGGCGGACTCTTCGGCTCCAACCTCCGCCGACCTTGTGGACTCGCTTCCCTCCGCGCGGGACGAGGGGGGTTCCTGCACGGACGGAGGGGCATTGGTCAGCGTGCCCTTGTCCTCCAGAACGCCCCAATCCACACCGGCAGCAACCTCATCGTCGTCATCATCGTCGTCATCACTGCTTACATCCTCTCCTCGATCCCATGCTTCTTGCTTCCGCTGCTTCTCCTCTTTCTTCTGCTCCCTTGCCTTCTTTTCCCACTCGGCCGCGATGCGATTCACCGCCGCCACGACCCGATCCTTCGACAGCGGGACCGGGCAGTCCTTGAAGGTTAGCCTCCTCGGTTGGTCCTGCCATCCCATGGTTGGTATTAAAGGATCAGAAATTCAAGTGAAAAGAAGGGCACGGGGAAGGAGAGCTTACAGATTCAAAAAACCCGGGTTCCGTCGCATTGGGGGATGCCCTGGCACCGGATACACATGTTCGAGGGCAGAGCCGGCAGTATCCTTCGAAGGCTCCATCGCCTCCTTGATACGCTGCGCCACCTCAGAAGGAGCAAGCGCCTCATCAACAAGCACCGTTCCTTCGAACGACTCTCCAGGAACCATCCGGTACAAGGGAAGCGCGCGCCATTAGCGGCAGCACCCTCCTCGCATGGTAGGCACCAATTATCCCCGACCCCTTCATGCCCCGGACCTTCAGAGCATGAATGGCGACGAGAAGGTCGGCAAGGTGTTTCTTCCCTGGAGTCGGACAGCCCCACTTCCACAACTCTGGGGCCTCGTCGATGAGACACCCAGAGTACTTCGACAAGGTGGCACTCAGGTCATCCTTGACGTAAAACCACTGTGAATGCCACCCCTTATTGGAGGTCGACAGACGCATCAGCGGGTAGTCCCTCGACCGGATGGGGCGCAGATGAATGCTGGCACATCCCATCGGCACGTTCACATCTTTCCCCCCAATTTTCCTCTTTGACAAACTGACGGTGAAGAAGTGCCGCCACAAATCGAAGTGGGGATCGATCCCCAGGAAACCCCTACACAGGGCAACAAACGCCACCATATGTTGGAAACCGTTGGGGGTAAGATGCTGCAACTCCACCTGGTAATAATCCAACAACCCCCGAAGAAATCTATGCGCGGGTACGGCAAATCCTCGCTCATGAAAGATGGCAAAAGACACGATGTACCCTTCGGGCGGCGCCGGCTCACTCTCAACACCGGGCAGCAGCCACTCCCCGACGGCGGACAGCGGGCGGAGGAGGCCACGGCGGACGAGGCCCTCCAAACGCTGAGAAGTAATGCCGGATCTGCCCCACAGCTCCATCGAAATGTTGGGAGGAAGGTGGGTGCGAGCTCAACGGGGGCAGCGGCGTGGACGCGAGCTCGACGGCGACGGTGAACGCGGATGCGAACCTAACGGCAGCAACAGTCTTGGCGTGGGAAGCTAGGGCGATTGGCGGCGAAAGCTGCGGATGCGAAGGCGAGGAGACGAAGTACGGAACCCTGGGGGTGAACCCCGTGGTTTTCTAGTGGCGACGGATGCGAGAAAAGCAACCGTCCGCCTCGATCCCCGGGCCTACCCCGCGCATCGCCGTATCATGTCACGGGACACGCGCCCGCGATCCCTATCCGCTCCCACCAAGATCACGCTAAACGGTTCACCTCCCCGGGCAATCGGACTCTTCTCCAATAGAGGGAACGTGGGCTAGAAAAAATTCTTCTCTAGTCCATCTAGGCCCAGAAAGACCGGGGTCGGCCCAACCATCTCGACTGACGTCTCAAACGAGGGACGGACCCGCAAGAGACCAGGACTCCGATACACGAGCGCCAACAGGACTTCAACTTTTTCAGTCAAAACCCCGGCCAGGCTAAACCCGGGCAACATCCCCGCGAACGGGACACCAGGGTTCCCTTGGAAACCATCCAGCTGAGAAAAACCGAATCTCACTGTCCTACCCGCGAAGGGTCCGAAAAGCACCCCTCGGGCGATTCCACCCGAATCACCCGGGGGCTCGGGGGCTACACCCATCGGGTGCGCTCGCGCGCACCCTCTGGCAAATCAGAACACCTTCTGGCGAGCCGGAACACCCCCCGGGCGATTCCACCCGAATCACCCGGGGGCTCGGGGGCTACTATCGGGGACCTAATACTGGGGTACCCAATGAGGGAGAATTGATAAACATCGTTGACACTTCCAATCGGATAGGAGCGCAACGACGCCTCTCGCCCAAGACCAGGGAGATCGATTCCACCTCGCCCGACCCTCAGGGGCCAGGCTCCGCCTCGCCCGATCTCCGGGGGCCAGACTCCGCCTCGCCCGACCCCCGAGGGCCAGACTCCGCCTCACCCGACCCCCGGGGGCTAGACTCCGCCTCATCCGACCCCCGAGGACCAAACTCCGGCCCGCCTGACGTCTGGGAGCTAGCTCCGCCCCGCCCGATGTCCGAGGGCGGGCTCCGCCCCATCCAACGACCAAGGGCTGGCCTCGCTCGTCTGGCCGACAAGGGCTGAACAATGCCTCACCTGACGCCCTCACCCTGCCCCTCCATGATGACATGAATAGGGTAAGACGGGACGTTGGGGTCAAACCGCGGCAGCAGGGACCATGCCCTGTGCCACTAACAAGTAACATCGAGGTACGACGGGATGGGCGCTTTAGGCCCTGCCAGACCTGACAGAGCCTAAACAGTGCTGTAGGCGTCGGGTTTTTCGGCCTACAGTATTGTGGGCGCCGCCTTCAACCCTCGGGCGCGGAGCCTGACACAAATGCCACTATGAGACTCACGTTCCTGTAGTGACAGGCGCACGGGCGCCGCACCGTTCGCCCCCCAGTATCGCAGGCCGACAACCCTGTCGGACACGCCGGCCGTAGGGATGGGATGGGACGTGACCACTTGCAGGGCATGACGTCGTCAACACACGCATACCCGGCGAACGCGCCCCCTCTGACACCGTCCGGCTGTGTCAGGGGGAGGGCTGACCCAGAGGAAGAAGAAGACCCGGCGCTTTCAGAGGATCTTCTTGGTCTCTGATTTTTTATCCTTCCTCCGCCATGTAAGCCCCGCTCCCCTTGGTCTATAAAAGGAGAGGCAGGGCACCCCGCTAAAGGGAGAGATCAACTTTCAACGAACAACTCACATACACAGCCAAGCCGCCGTCAGGCTCTTGGCCTCCTTTCGACCCTTTCATCAGAGACCTGGAACCAGTCCCTCTTTCGACCGTTTGTACCCCCTACTACGAACCATTTTCGGTGCTAATAACACGAGCAACAACAGACTGGACGTAGGAACATTCAGCCCGAACCAGTATAAATCTTGTGTCCATTAGCGCACCATCCGGGCCTAACGCGCATAACTATAAATTTACTTGCCGGTGCTTATTCGAAACACCGACACTAGGAATTCGAAAAACGGAAATCTTGTCATGTTATACCCTTTGCATGTTTCTGTTTTGGAAAAACACGTTGAAATAGTTCTTTTTTCTATGAAGACATAGTAAATCAATTAGGAAGCAGACCCAAAAGACCTGGCTTCTCTGGTAAAGGTACTGCTACAGCACACACAGGAGCCCAACAATGTTGAAGCTGAACCTTAGGACGAGTCCTCCAAAGAGGGCCTCCATTGTACAATCAGAATACAGTGGCACTTGTAACCAACTGGAAAGAAGACATTTGGTCCCAAATAATGAAACACAAATATATACTCCATCTAGTTACTCCAGAACACTAATAGGACTATGCAGCATGAACATCTAGTTACTCCAGAACACTAATAAGACTGCAGCATGAACATGCTTGCACGATTATGCTCCTCATATTCATCTGCCAACAATTAACAGTACAAATGCTCCACATGCAGTGGTTGCAAGGGTGCAGCGCAGTCCAGAAGCTAGGGTTCTGGATCAATCTATGAAAAAACAACTAGAAAAAAAAAGGCAGACCAGCTCAGGAATACTCAAAAGCATTCTAGACAGATCGTTGTCCTCTTTTCAGGTAGGAGAAAAATGGAACCATATGCAACGCGACAATCCGAAAAAATCTAACAAACCTCGTGTCGTGTGTATCCTGATATTGCCAAACACAAGGAGCAGAGAAGATCTAGGATGGGGACTAGGGAGTGAGTTTTGGCTTACCCCCTCTTTGCCGGGGATGACGCACTTCCAGACCATGAGGTTCACGGACCCATCCGGCAGCGTCTCCGGCTTCGCCACGAACCCCTGAAGGAATCAAACAAAGAACAAACGCCCCAGAGATTAATAACGGCAAGGAACTAGTACAGGCGCGGCGAAGCAGAAGCTCAGATCGGTGGCGCGCACATAAGGGTGGCTCTTGCGCCACGATTTGCGCTCCTCGGCCAGTCGGCCGCGGGCGATGCCACCAGATGCCATCCCACCCGACCTAGCGTTGCGCTCTAAAATTTTGGGGCTTATCGCGCGAGCGGGGATGTCAGTGGATGGGTTCGGCTCCCGGGCTCTGGGTTTGGCTTCAGCTTGAAGCAACAGCGGCTACAATGTCAGGCTGACATCATCACTTATTTTCCGAAGTCTCTAGCAAGGTTTCAGGATTTTGTTCAAACTTGGACTACCCATTTAAACTACCCAAAATTTCATAACTTTCCGAGCAAAAACAAAATTTATATGAATTTTGAGTATAAAATTGATTTTAGAATTTTTAATTGCATTATTTTTTCCAAGTAAAAATATATTTGGATAAAATTTAAAAAAATAAATGATTTTTTGGATACGTTTATCTGATTTTCCTCCTTGCATTTTTCAACTTAGTGTGATTTATCTCATCTGATGTTTTGCCACATCAGCAAAATCACCGTCAAAATCGTTCAGGGTGCAAAAACACTGGTATCGTATATCAGGGAGGAAAACATATTTCTTTGTTTTAAAAGCTCCTAGGCCCATGTTAACAGGCAGGAGGTAAGAAACTCACTGTTTTGAACAAGGCCCAAAACCCCAAGCACCGAAAAGCCCATTCGTCTCACAGAACAACCCACCCACCAAACCCCCCGGCCGGCGCCCGTCCCCACCGATGGCCGCCGGCGAACCTCCCGCCCCGCGCGCCGCCGCGGCGCCGGGGCCCGAATCCGCGGCCGAGGCCGAGCACCTCCTTTCGCTGGCCGAGTCGGAGCTCTCCGCGGGCCGGCTCCGGGCCGCGCGCAGGCACGCCCTCCGCGCCTCCCGCCTGTACCCGTCCTGCCCGCGCGCCTCGGCGGTGGCCACCGCCGCCAACGTGCTCCTCGCCGACGCCTCCTCCCACCACGCCGCGCTCCTGCTGCCCGAGCCCGACGACCCCGACGCCTCGCCGCTCTCCGCCTCCGAGCTCCGCCGCCACTTCAAGTCGCTCGTCAAGTCCCTCCGCGTCGGCCCCTCCTCCGCCGCCGCCTACCCCTCCTCCGCCGCCGCCGCCGAGGAGGCTCTCGGCCGCGCCACCGAGGCCTACGAGGCGCTCACCGCCCCGCCCCCCGGAACTTTCTGGACCGCCTGCGCCGGATGCCGCCTCCTCCACGAGTTCGAGCGCAAGTATGTGGGATACCGCCTCATCTGCCCCTCCTGCCGCCGTACCTTCCTCGCCGTCGAGGTCCCGCCTCCGCCGGAGGCCGAACCCCCTGCCCTTGCGCCTGCGCCTGCGCCTCGGCGGCCGGCGGCGGCCAAGAAGCCCAATACGGAGAAGCTGGAAATGACGCTCGCCGAGATGCAGCTCCAGCTCGCCAAGAAGAGGAGGGGCGCAAAGGCTTCGAAGAGCTCTTCCCGAGACTTGGTGGTGGATGATGATGATGAAGAAGAGGAACAGGAGGACGGCGAGGAGGCTGAGGCGGAGAACAACCATTCGGACCTGATGGCCGTGGAGGACTCTGACTTCTACAACTTCGACGCCGACCGCGGCGAGAGGTGCTTCAAGAGAGGCCAACTCTGGGCTTTGTACGCCGACGCCGACGGCATGCCACGCCAGTATGCGCTGGTGGATGGGGTGCAGCGAGGTACCCAGTTCAGAGTGCAGATACGGTGGCTGGATGGCGAGGAGGGGAAGCCATGCGGGCAGTTCAAGGTTGGGAGAGCAGAGACCGTGGATTCAGTGAACGTCTTCTCCCACCTTCTGGCCTGCGAGAGGGCGGCGAGGGAGGTGTACCAGGTTTATCCCAGGAAGGCCTCGGTTTGGGCGCTCCATGGTGGCGAGGAGGGCGATGCGGCGAGGACAAAGTATGACATTGTGGTGATGCTCAGTGGTTACGATGGGCGGTATGGTGCCAGCTTCGGGTACCTAGAGAAGGTGGAAGGCTTCAGGAGCATCTTCACACGCCGGGACGTCGGAAGCCATGCTGTACACTTCCTTCAGAAGGATGATCTTGGGGTGCTTTCGCATCAGATACCAGCCAGGAAGGTGCCCAAGGGCGAGGGATCGGCTCTGCCTCCTGGGGATTTCTGGGAACTTGATCCTGCATCATTGCCTCCCGAGTTGCTGCGCATCGAAGCTGTCAAACCACGGGAATGATCTGGTTGTGGTGTAAAAGGTTGTTGCAGGTGTTTTAGTTGATAGGATCGGCTGTGCATATAGCACATAAATCGCAGAGGAAGGCTCTTTGTTTGTTCTGCCATGTCAAATGGTGTGAGGATGAGTCTGATTTGCCAACTCTAGCTGGGCATTGATCATGTTTATGATTCTTCTTCATGTAGTTTCCTAGGTAGCATGATGAAACTTGTAGGCATTTGAGTTTCAAGTTCTGCCACCCATGTTGTATCACATGAATGATTTTTCGGTATTGAATTGTTGGCTGACTATACACTACTCTGGTATACGAATGATTCTTATGATCTTGTTCCGCCATATTAGTACTACTAATGTATTTTTTTAAACAAGCATATATTTGTTTCTTTTGTATCCAGATTTTCTTCAGGTGTATGAATAGGGCAGCAGGGGCTGATTTTCTTGGCAGGTTGGTGTGTAGTTAACAAGTTGTGATGGTAAGGGAGCAATGCTGTTATAGTGTTATGTAAATGTAACTAGACCTGTGACTGCATCTCATGGGCAATACAAACCCCTTCATTTGCTCCAGTTTCAAATCACAAATGTCAATCAAAGGTCAGTGCATGAAATGCTTTGCCGAAGTGAATTTCAGATGCTTCCAACCAGAACTTTCAAGCCAGCGAAATCAAGTGAATTTAGAGTTTTTTTTTAATTCAAATAGAACTAGTGCTGCTACAGAGTTGACTGAATCTTGGCGGATATAGGAAATGGGAAAACAATTTGATCAACAGAGGGCATCCCTGCATTCATAATTCTTCTCTAGCAACTTTCTACTATTTTTCTTCTAAAATGATCTTGGAGCCGTTTGGATCCCTTCATTTTGGAGGAATTGGAATCTACTTAATAGATTAGGCTATTTGGCTTGGAATTTGAGATTTCACAATTTTTCAAAGTTCACGTATAAGCATATCTCAAATTCATAGGGTGGGAGATGAAAATCGTTTCTATAGATCATCATGCCATGTTTCTACTCCACAACTTATAGCACTCTCTTCAACTTGCTTCCCTATATTAGAAATGCAACATATAAGTATCTCCTTTGCATAGCTAACAACAGTATACAAATATATCCCATATATAACCATATTAGCTTAATTAATATGTGCCTAAATTATAATTTATTAGAACGAATTCAATTCCAAGGATCCAAACGAGGCTATTGTTATTTAGAAGCAACCTTATGGCTACATTTTTCCCGTAAAAACAGACCTTTTTCTAATGGTGTTTAGAAACAACTTTAACGCTCATTTTATTATTAGGATATGGTTACAAACCTGGAGTGTGCAATGAACGTCCGAATCATGAAAGTAAACCTCTTCTTCTATTGAGCCTATATTTTGAAATTGATGATCAAAGCTTTAAAAGTTGGACTGGATCTTGGTTTGAGCATATGTTATTTTAGTATTTGGCTAAGGGGAAAATGTTCTACTTGCTCTTAATAAGGCCTATAAATTATCATGCTAATTAAAGGAAAAAATAAAGTCATGCATCAATGGCATTACGAAAAAATAACACAAAATATCTCTATACCTATTTATAAATTGCTACTGCCATCATGGTAAAAATAACTCAAAATACCCTTGTACTTATTTATAAATTACATATACTGCCAATCATGGTTTTCTACATCTTGCATCTACCATTTTTATTAGAAAAAATGAAGCCAAATATCAACAAAAGAAGACAAAACATATTTAGTCAATGTATAAGTCCATTACACACATGCATTTAATGGAAGATGACCAAAGAAGATCATGAAAAAAATAGAAAAGCAGTGAAGCATTATGACCAAGACAGACGCAATATCAACGAACAAGACAAGCTCAATGACAAGTATATATGACCACTGATATCGATGGCATTGCAATTGCAACACTAGGCTCAAATGGCCATGGCTCCAAGTCTGACTAATTTAGTGATGATTGTAGTGCAAAAAAAAAAACTAAGGGCACCTCCGATAATAAAAGCTAGCTACCTGACTTTTAGATATCATCTCATCTTTTATACATGTATAAACTGTTCTTTATATTCTCTCTCCTTTCAAGAAAAAGATATATGAGATATATATATCCCTAGTGTATTGGGACACACATTCTTCTATTCCCACTAGTTCAAATTTTTTTGACCTCTCTCTCCTCCACGTGGCATCTAATATCAGCTTAGAGGTGGCTAGTGGAAGTGCCCTAATATGGAAGCCCTAGATTTGAATTATGTCTGTAAGAAAAATAGACCCTAGGCCCATTTACTTAAGATTTTAGTGTTTGATGACCAACACAACCAAATTGGACTAATGAATTTGCAAGTGATCATTTTGTAGTTCAATAGAGTGCAAGACGTGACTTGGACGAAGGCGACGTGATGATCCGATGATCAACATCATAAGCAAGACCTTAGAAGCACAAGAGAAGACCCAATATATCAAGCAAAGTCCAAGCACGAAGATAGGAACCAAGCCGGACGCAAGATCGCGAAGAAACGAGCTCACAGAGGTGACCGGACGCTGGAGGAAAGCGACCGGACGCTCCGATCAAGAGGCTCGGCAACAGCAGGCGCGACCGGATGCTGGAGACAAAACGACCGGACGCAGGACTGCAGCGTCCGATCAAGTACAGAAAGGTTCCAGAGCGGCGAAATTACGACCGGACGCGTCCGATGGCATGTGACCGGACGCTGGCAGCATCCG